AAATTCAGGTGTTAATTTCAATTAACTATATATAACCACCCCACCTACCAACCAAAAATTTCCCAAATTCAAATATGAAAATCATACCACCACACGGACCCACCCCCACCCCACCCCACCCCACCCCATCCCATCCCATATCACCACACCTTCCAAAGAATTTTCAGAAATTAAAAACAGGAAATCACACCCCCAATCCATAGATCCACCTACCCCAACCTTACATTGCAAAAAATTTTCGAAAATTAAAAATATCAAGGCTCTGACGTGTCATCTGTGACCAATTGTGACCAAATTTGTATTTAATGCGATTGTGTGTAACCAAGTCAATCTTAATTTTGACGGTATGTAATCAAGTCACAATCGTCCCAATTAACACAGAATTAGTCACAACTAGTCACAATCGGCCACATAATTGGTCACAAAGGTCACTACAAACAAATCCGCTTACACCACGAACAAGCGGATTTGGAAAATCATTTTATTTGGAAAAATCGGATCCGATTTTTCGGTTTACGGTTAGTCGGCCGGTTTAACGATTTATTTGACGATTTTCAATTTTTCATTTAATGTATGATGAATTGATTTCAATATTGATTTTTTTCCCTAATTTTTATTAATTTCAGATCGGATTATCTGATCGGATATCCGATAACATAGCAAATCAAATCCGAATTTAACAACAAATATCTGTTGGATTATCGGATTGGATCAGATCAGATATAGACAGATCTGATCCATATCCGATTCACTTACAGCCTAACTACGACGGTATGTGACCAGTTACAACCGGTCACAATTAACACAGAATTGGTTGCAATAAACACATATTTGGTCATATAGGGTCAACACAAACAAATATGCACACACCGCAGATCAGCATCACAATCCACCACCAGTCACCACCACTACCACCTTCAACTAAAATTTACAACCATAAATACTACATTTATATCAAATCCACAACAACAATCATCACGACCATCACTTCCACTAACGCCTTCATTAAACACCAATTAGCACATTCGTACTACCAAATGTAGATTGACAAAACTGCAAATTTACACCACCCACAGATCTAAACACCACATTCACAGCCACCATCAGAGGCGATAATTCACTGTCATGCTCCACTGCAACATCTCTGATTGGGGCCAAAGCTTCACATTCCGATCCTAATGAGTTGCTGTGTTAGCACCACCACCAGCTCAACTACTCCAAATTCTCCCATTTTCAAATTCAAAAGTAACATCAAATGCTCCAATAGATCTCCACGAACTGTAAGGGAGGGTCCGATAGTTGTAGTTTTCGTCGTTGTTCCTACAAGCAACGACGTCTCAAGCTTCGTCGTGGCCGATATGTTGTTTCCTTCTGGGGTCAGTGATACTTCGCTGCACCGAAAAAGGAGATGGTTGGATGAGTGGTGGTAGAGAGAGCGACAATGAAAGAGAAAGGATAGAGAGAAGAAAGAGAGGCAAAAATATTTAGGGTTTGGATTTGGGAATGAAATGGGGTGGAATGGGTGGTGGGTACGTAGATTAGGTTTAATTAGATTTTTATTAATTATAATTATTAAAATCTAATTATCACCTGATTTTTGAAATAAAAATTAATCCCCCTTATTTTTGAAAATTAGTCTTTTGATGTAGGTTTCTAGGTAATTTTTCCTATTTTTCTCAAAAGTTTCATCTTTGAATTTTTACCATTATTCGTCACTTTTGCATTCATTTCTCCAATTCTTCAACAAATATAAATTTTTACCTACAAAATACAATATAAATAAATTAAGTAGAATTTAATTCAAAATACAATAAAACGTCATAATTTAGGATTATGAATAAGTGTATAAACTACACTTATCAAAAACCAATCAGACAGTGTTTCCATTTAAAAGTTGTAACTGATTATTGGAACAAGTGCTCATTCATATGCTTTTTCTTTTTAAATTTGTGGTTCTGGTTTACCAGAAAGTTGCTTCATTCATCATTGACTATTATATTGTGCTCATCTCTATCCACTTTCTTCTTTTTATCTTTTTCAACTCCTTGCTTAGACTTGCTTAGACTCTAATCAATCAGGACCATTTTTAATGCTGAAGCAACATCATCTTTTAGAATTTTAATGGGGCATTTAGTTCATTGGAATATGATTGATGTAACCCGGCAGCATTTGTTTAAAACGCAATTATACTTTTCACAAAGGATAAATTGGGAATCTAAAAAGTTGTAGTTGATTCCAGTATTTGCCCTTGATGTTTGAAAGTGGACCATTGCTAGAAGTATTATTGAATACGTAAGTGAGTGGAATGGAATCGAGAAAAGTGATTCATGTAGCTGAATCCAAATATATTGGGGATGAAGCTTAGATTTGTTGTTTGTAGTATAGGATATGCGAAGAAGAAACGGAGTGGAGAAAAGGGATTTGTTTGATTGTAGATATATCGGGAACATAGCTTAGTGTGTTGTTTTTATCGTTGAATATGTGTGATCCTCCATCACAGAAATCAGGGAATGTGTGGACGGCTTTGGCACATATAATAACAGCAGTAGTAGGTTCTGGAGTACTTTCTTTAGC